GAGAATGATGGAAGGGGTGATTCCTGATCAAGGTGCCTTGTATTCGTAAAGGACACATTGAATTAAAACCCCCATTGTACATGTAGTCTCCCAGCCTGGGAGTGACATTCATGTCACTTAATTGAGCAACATGCTCTGGGAACTAAAAGCAGGATTCTGCTTAGAGAGGACGAACACTGGGAAACTCAAGTGCTTGCTCTGTGCCCACACATGGGCTCCTAGTTGCCTAGTGTGCAAACTTTCAGACCTTAATGAGAACCATAATAATGTGGGTGTGTCTTCTGTCCATCTGCACCAGCGGACAGACGGGCCCATTACAAAAATCACAGCCTCTCCAGTTTGCTGGCCATGGGGACAGAGTCACGAGCATGAGCACAGGGAGCCAATTTTGCTGGCACAAAACTTAAAAACAACAACAACAACAACAACAAAAACCCACAGGTCTGTCTGACTAACCCTGACAAACACATTAACCGCAAATGCATTCCTGGAATTTACGCTCTTCTGCCTCAACGCCGTGTGCAATTATCAGGTCCCTCAGACCGGCAAAGGTCAGCATCAGCACCAAGTTCAGTTCTGAGTATGACACAACCCTGCATCTCAGTAACACAGACAAATGCATCTTCAGAAGCATCGCACAACACTGCTATCTCAACATGCCTGGCCTGTGCCTGGTCCTCTAGTATGTGTATTAGGTTAAGTTGGCCTTATGGGCATATAATTTTCTTGTATAACAGGGAATGAAAGCCATTCAGATTTTCTCTGCTGGATCTGTTAAGAATAACAGACTTAATCACAGCAAGGCCGATCTAATCTCATTTCTGTTTTTCTGGTGAAATTAAATAAAATCCCTTATACTGTCTGCTGGCTGTTTAATGTGAATTTGTTTTCTCGGTGAGATAAGAGCTTATGGAGAGGTCAAATAACTTAGAAGGCCTACCATATAGAAATTCAAGAAAGAAGATTGCGGAAAAATATTGAACACTCTTAGTTGAATCATGAGGTACAAACTTGGCCTTAGAAGCACTAGGCACTGCTTCAAGGGTGCTATGTACATATAAATGTAAAGTAGGGACCTTCAAGTCCAAAGCATGAATCCATGGGCATCAATGGCCCATCCAATGGGGAGCAAGCTTTCAGTGTAGCAAGCCCATGTGATTCAGGTAAGTTCAGATCGAGCCTGAGGCTCTCTGTACTCAGCACTTTGTAGGCACCAAGTAGTTTCCTTTACAATGTTTACAAATGTATTTGTGTGAGTGTGTGTGCCAGTACTGAGGCTTGAACTTTGGGCCATGCTGCTCTCCCTTAGCTTTTTACTCAAGGCTGGTTCTCTACTATTTGAGCCACAGCTCCACTTCTAGCTTTTTGGTGTTTAATTAGAGAAGGGAATCACAGAGACTTTCCCACCTGGGCTGGCTTTAAACCTCAATCCTCAGATCTTACCCTCCTGAATAGCTAGGATTACAGGCATCAGCCAATAGCACCAAGCAAAGTAGTCACTCTTAAGTGTGATACTGAAAAGCTAAAACATAAAACCAAAACATAGCATGTCCCCATCACTAACAGGGATGATGCCATTTTGAAAAGGATTTATTTCACAGATGGTTTACACAGTCATGGTACTTTATAGCGGAAAGAAGTGGAAAGGACAGGAGAGATGGCTGTCCAGTTTAATCTACTTCATGAATGAAGGAAAAGTGAGAGTCATGACTTAGTGACCCAGATGGAGCCATTCTTTAATCTATGACCAGACATGGGTAGAGTTATTCATTTTTGCTATTCTTCTGGTGCCAACATCTTCAGTTAAGACCATTCCCATACTGGCAAGGCAAGGTTGCTTGTACCATGTGGACATCAGGGCCTCTTATCTCAAATATGCCCACAGCCCGGGTTGCAAAGTGTCCAGGCTAGAGGAAATACTTTGAGATCTGACACACAAGAAAGTAAATCAGAACTCATCTCTGCATCTCATCTGGGCCACAAGCAGAATAGATGAGCTTTTTCCTTCCACATCTGTAATAAGATGTGTATGCCAAAGAGCACATGAACTGGCACCAAATTCACTGAAAAAAAAAAAAAAAACAAACAGCTGCCCACCTGGGAAGAAGGCACACCCAAAAGCACCCAAAGTCTGGACTGACAAAACCTATACTAATAACAAAGACTAGGATGCGACTCTGATCCCTAAGGGGTCATTGAGAATAAGAGCTTGGTTTCATCCAAGACACTTAGAAAGGTCATCCACCAACCAAAATTAGGCTGTCCTTCTCCAACTAAAATCCCAGGAAAATTATTCTACAAATAGAACAAGAATTTATTATGCCCAGGATTCGTATCACTTTAATAACTTTCTGAGAACATTGACAAATTCAATTTACAAGATACACTGGGACTCCAGCTCATAAAATTAAGAAAAAATATTGCTTTCCTAATGGTCAGATTTCCTAAATTGCCATTTAGATTTAGGCATGTGATTTACTTGTTTCTTATTTATTTTTTTGGAGAAGAGCATACATTGATCACTGCATTCTGTTCTGTCTGGTGTATTTGAATATGCCTTGACAGCATACTCACTTAGACACAAGCTTTGGTTCTGTGCTCAGAGAGCTCTGCATCAGGGGACCCTAGGATGGGACCACACATGCGTACAGCATGGGTACCTTCCCTCACCATCCCAGTCCATGGGACTGGGGCTGGGACACTGGATCCAGTCCCAACTAGAGCCCAACTTTTCTGTGCTTCATTTTTCTGACACAGTATAACTACACAAGTATTTTCTAAGGAAATTATGCACCACTTGTGGCTCCTATCTGTAATCTTACTCAGGAAGCTGAAAACTAAGGACCACGGTTCAAAGCCAGCCAGAGCTGCAAAGTCTGTGAGACTCTTAGCATTAATTAACCAACAAAAAGCAGGTAGTAGTGCTTTGGCAAGTGGTAAAGCACTGGCCTTTAGTGAAAAAGCTAAAGGACAGCTTCTAGGCCCTGAGTTCAAGCCCCTCCCGCCACAATTGAGCTTTTTAGTTTACTAAGACACTTTCGGAATGTCAACAAAAAAGCTGTACCTTGTTATTATTACTGTTATTATTATTATTGCATGTACAGAGTGGTAATCAGTTGACAAAATAATTACTTCATTTGAGCTTCATCAGAGACTGGAAACAAGTTTCCCCATATATAACTAATTCATACTCTGCACCAAGGAGAAGCTGCTCTGAATTCCCTGTCAGTGCCCTCCTGTCACAGTAGACGAGGTGAGTAGTCAACAAAAATATTGCCAGGGCAGAGCTTTCTTTTTAGCTGCTAGAGAACTGGGGCTTGGCTTTGCTTTCTCACTGGTGGTCTGTCACTGGAGCTACAGCTCCCCTTCTGGCTTTTTGGTGGTAATTGGGGATCAGCGTGTCACATACTTTTATGCCTGTGCTGGCTTTGACCCTGGATCCTCATAAGATCTCAGCTTCCTGAGTAGCTAGGATGGCAGGCATGAGCCTCTGGTACCAGGTCCAGGGCAGGGTCTCTAAACGTATTTATTAGTTTGATAACTCTACCCAATAAGAAAAAAAAAAGATACCGTAGAGTTTAAAAACAAATCCTGCACAGCTTTACATTTGAACTCTTTTCTTTAAAAGCCCTGAGTTGTGCACAGGGGAATTAAAGACTTTATAAACAAGGAAAAACCACCAAATTCCCTGTCTATGCTTGGTAAACAGAACTTTCTGGGTCATCCCCATGTTCTTTATCTTCTTCTTCCTTCTACCCCTCTCTCTCATCCTTCTGGTGATTCTCAGCCACAGTGACTCTCTTTTTTGCCTCACCTGCTTTCAGCAGTATTCTGAGTATTTTTTCTTCAGCTCAACAGTCTACTTTGCAAAGGGCTGCTGTCCTCAAAGCAGCGGGTGTCCATCTCCCCCAAGGTTGCTTTTGCAATATCACCCATGCACTGCAGCAGGCTGGGCAGGACTCAGAACCGAGCAGGAAGGTGAAAGGAGCCTCTGGGATGCGTGGGGATCCTTGAATCTCCCTTTTGTCTACCGTTGGAGGGGCTACAGGCTTTCATTTCTCTTTCATAGTAAGCTTTGTCTGACTTTGCCAGACCTTCAGGTTTTCCTCTTTCACAGCGTCTGCCTCCTGACTACAGCCCTGTCCCTGTGGAGCCGTGTGCACGGCAGTGGCTGTAAGGGCAGGAGCCCAGGCAGCCTCTTGGTCTGCACGGAAGGCCCTTAGGACCTGGCTACAAAGTGTGTACTGATACTGGACGGATTTCTGGGGGAACCAGAGTGTCATGGAAAGGCCCAGAATGCTATAAGATATAAGGGGAAAATGACAGAAATGCTGACACATGAGTGCTGCTTTGTGTTCTCCCTCCCCACTGACCCCGTGATTTTCTTTGGTATGAGAACATTCTGTCACCACTAACTTTTCCTCTAAATATTCCAAAAGACACCTTAGAGGTTGCCCATCTTCTGAGCAGCCATCTTCAGAGGAAATGAAGTTAAATACATAGGATGTGAAAGGCTGGATTTTGTTTCTGTAATGTGTTTTCTGGGCTTAGACACATTAAAAACAAGTCTATTTGCTTTGATTCATTTGATAGTGCACCGCTCAGAGTTCCAGAGTAAAATCCACATCTGTGCACACCCACAGTGATTTCAGATCCGTAAACATGTTTGTCCCAATGGTTACTGAATATTTCAAGAGACACCATCTCTTCCCTCGGCCTTCATCTCTAATAGGAAACTATTACATAGAGTGGTCTTAAATTTGGCCATTTCCCTTTCGATAATACTTCTCTCTGATCTGATCATGCATTATATTATCTCATGTAGAGAAATCAAGATCTTCTGAATCTTTAGAAAATCGAACAGGAGGATAGAATTTTGAGTTTAAAATTCAATAGTCATATATACAAGCTCCTGCTTTGACCAAATGATGTGTCTTTTGGACTAGGAAAAACAAGGATGTGAATTAATATTCTGTTCCCCAAGCGTCCACCCCTCTCACCTCTTGTTCCGGTCCTCTAGCTGCAGTGTATACACCATGTCATCAGCAGCGTGTGTCTTGGAATTGGAGTTACTGTCCCCCCACTTTAGCTTTAAGCTCTGGGGGCCGGCAGCAGCGCACTCCAGCCTAGGAGGCAAGGGTGGCAAGGGCCGGGTTTTTGCTTTAATGAACTGACTAAATGGTCCAGCTCCAATTTCATTGATAGCCTGAATTCTGATCCTGGAAAAAAAAAAACAAAATAGTTTAAAATATAAAATGTACACGTTTTTCATTCAAAGCAAACATTGGACAGGGTATTTATTATTTGCCCTTAAAATAAAATAGTTTAATCAAATGAAGGAAAACAAGTAGGGAGCTGAGTGCAGGTGGCTCACACATCTAATCCTAGGTACTCAGGAGGCTGAGATCTGAGGATCACGGTTCATAGCCAGCTTGCGTGGATAAATCTAAGAGCCTCTTGTCGCCAGTTTAACCAGCAAAAAGCCAGAAATGTGGTTCAAGTGGCAGAGTGCCAGCCCTTAATTAAATTATGAACTGAATATGAATTATGAACTGAATATGAGAACAAATTTGTCTTATTTAGAGTCACAATCAAAGGACAACAGCCTTCACCACGTAGCGAGGTGTTGGAAAATCGCTACCGGTGGCTTATTGTGCGTGAAGCCTTATGGGTAGCAAAGAATTTAACTCCATGTTGGGTCTATGAACGTGAAATCTAAGAAAGCTCAACCATGCAATATGGAGAATTCTTTCACATGCTCAACGGGAGTACGAGTCCCATTGTTCTTGTTCCCTTGCTTCCCAGTCCTGGAGCAGAACAGCTCTCCACTCACCAAGTAGCACGCTGATGCTGCTGTGCTGTCCTGACCTGACCTTCCTTTCACTCCCGTCCTGACCTTCCTTCTGCTCTTCTTACAGTGACTGCACCCTTTCCTGGAGGTGGTGGATGCATGCCCCAGTGGGGCCTTCTCCTCCACTCCTCTCACCAAAGGCCTCCCCCACTCCTCCTCTTTTCTTCTGTACAATACAAAATAGCCTAAAATCATCTTTACTAAAGCCATCTCTCACCCATTGCTTCAGCCATGTAAAGAGCTACAAGACATTGCTAAAAATACTAAAGATGATTATATATACTGTTCATGAGCTAGAAGATCCCTCCCAACTGACAGAGACAATACAATTAAAAAAAAACTAATGACTCCAGCCAGGTATGATAGCATATACTGGTAATTCCAGCACTCAGAAGGCAGAGGCAAGAGGAAGGCAAGTTCAAGGTCAGCCAGGATTACATAGTGAGACCCTATTTCAAAAAAAAAAAAAAAGGATAAAAGGAAAGAAAGAAGAAAAGAAAATGAGAGGTACGGTCAAACTGTTTCTAAAATTTACGTAGAATGGCAAAGGAACTAAAATAGCTATCACAAATTGAAAGAAAGAAAAAAAAGAAGCTTGGAGAAATTGCACCTGACTTTAGGACTTACTATAAAGCTACAGTAATCAAGACAGTGTGGTACTGGTGAGGAGACGAACACATGGATCAATGCGACAGAATAGAGGCTCCAGAAATAGACATACACAAATATGGCCGATTGATTTTTGGCCCAGGTGCAAAAGCAATTCAATGGAGAGAGGATAGGCTTTTCAACAAACTGGTTTGGAGCAACTGGATGTCAACAGGAAACAATAAATAAGCTTCAACTTACACCTCACACCTGGTAACAAGAACTTAGCTCAAAAAAATGAGCCATGGATCTAAATGCAGAACACGCAACTTTGAAGAAGAAAACACAGGGAAAAAGCCTTTATTCTCAGAATTAGTTAAAGGGTCTGCATATATGATGCCAAAATGAAGGCACCACGTTTTCTCTCAGGTGCAGAAGTTAGATCTAGGGAACAAACATATATGAAAACACATGCAGGGTCATATGCATAAAGCACTAACACTTTAACTAAAGTACGGGAAGGATTCCAATGGCATCATTCCTTTGAATAAACAACTGAACAGAGATGAATTCAGGAAAGAACACATTTTGTTAGGGGAGGAGTCAGGTCAAGGGGGGAAAACAGGCAAATGGTAGAGGAAGGGCACCCATAATATTTAATGTACACCTGTGAAAATGGAACCAGGTGATTTGGGATGGGCGTGTAAAGGAGGAGCACTTTCTAGTGTTTAATATCTTCAAATTATATACTAAACCAGGAAAGCTTTCAAGGTATCTAAGTGTGTACTGGTGAGCTCTAAAATGACCATTTATGCCACGATTGTCTTGTGACGTCTTTATAGAGACCGCTATAATTACCAGCAGCAGAGAAAACCCAGTGAGCATGTGAGAGGACACGTGAGGCTCTTTGGTCCAATAGTCTGGACCAAAGTCACCCCATCTTTGGTCCAGTAGTCTGCAGACTACTAAGGGCTCCCACCTCCTTTATAGCTCCAATAGTCTGCAGACCCTCTTCCCCACCCCACCATTTCCTTCCTCTGCCTTACGGCCAAGGACAGCCCAGGGGACTGGCTTCTTCTCCAGCTGTGCTCTGGAGGGTGAGGAGAGGTGAGGCACAGAGCTCAGGAGCTGGTGGGAATGGTGGCTGTCCCACTGACATGGACGGTCACCCCACCCCACGCAGTGAACCTGCTCTCTTCAGAAGAATGTGCTTGAGTCATCAAGGATGACTGGAGGTCAACTTGAAGAGACCAGATAACTCCATGGACAAGACTCAGTGCTACCAGGGGTTGAAGTGTGGGTTTCATGGGAGTGATTTCACCTCTAAGCCCCCTGACCCCATGAGGCAGGAACTATGCTGCCTACTTTACAAGCGAAGGATCTGATGCACAGCCAAGTCTGGTTCCTTGACTAGTCCATACGTGAGACCCAGGTCAGACCTGCATGTGGGGAAACTGAGGCCCTTCAGGCTCCAAGGCCTTTGTTAAGTCCTGGCACACCATACTTGCCTATCTGACAACTGGGCACCAGACAAAAGGTCATTTTAGATCAAGCCACAAGTGTCAATTCTGCTTTGTCTCCATGAAATATTGACAAGTGTCAACAAATTTATTCTCATTTTATTTAGTTAGCATTTGGTCCTGAGATCGGCTACTTAAGACTTTAAAATACTTAACCCAGCTTCCCTATTTTTTTTTGGTAAAAATATACTTTCTTTCCGTAAAGCAAGTGAAAACCATTCTTCCTGAGTAGCAGACACTCTGCACTAACATCAATTATTCTCACTATAAAGTAACACTCACAACTGAAAAAGGACTGAGGAACTAACAACACAGAGGTGCTATCTTATATTCTGGGAAACAAATATTAAGAACTCTAAGGAGAAAAGATTTAGAAAGATGAAGAAAAGGCCTCATGCAGTGATTTCCTGTTTCGTCTTAGGATGAAAAAATGTAGGGTATCAAAATCATTTCCTAACTCCGGTGAGAGATGACAGAGTAGGGGCAAGGTAGGGTGGTAATTAGTGATGCATTACACACTAACCTGATGAACAAGTCATATATACCTCCAAAAGGAAAAAACTTGCCAACTTTTAGAAAAGTTAAAATTAAAACCTATCCCACACTCCAAAGGAACTTTTCTTTAGCGGAAGATAATGGGATCATCTTGAAGTTTAGGCACAACCCATTGATGTGTTTTTAAAATATGTAACGTGCATTATGTCAGTTTTGGAAATCATTAGCCCTGCAAACGAAGCCAAAGGGAAACGGAGATGTGCTGTCCAGCATAAGGAAGTGATGTCATCCTGAGAGAAGAGTGTCTTGGCCAGGCTCCTGTGCAAGAATCTCTTCAAGTTCCCAGGAGGTGTCCGAGTCCATCAATACACTAACACTGCTGATTAGATAAATCAAATTACAAAACATATCTTTATACACTTGGATTAAAAAGACACCATTAAAATATCTATCCAGTAGTGCCAAAGACATTCCTGCTTCCGAAGATCACACCGTCTCTTTAATGCACTTGATACATAGTCACAGTCAAATTCCCAATACTAAGCCTATTAAAAGAAAAATGACTTTCAAAACAAATTGTCCTTGCCAGGGATGATGACATTTCTTATCACAAGTGGTCATCTCTGCTGTCTGATCGTGCGTGGAGAATAAGGACAGGGCCCAGGGAAGGCTGGGGCAACAGAGGACTAAGAAACAAAAATGTAAGGGGAAACAAAGGAGGAGGCAACAATGCTTGATAAGAAATGTACTCATTACCTTGCCCATGTAACTGTAACCCCTCTGTACCGTATTTTCATAATAAAAAAGAAAGAAAGAAAAAGAAGAAAAGAAACGAAAATGTACTTTACATAGCACTCTTGATCCAGTCTATGATCTAATCACCCAACTGCAAAAAAGAAGTAATGAGGCCTAGTGGCTCGTGCCTATCATCCCAGTGGCTTAGAAGGACTGAGGCCATCCTGGACAAAAAAAAACAACAAAAATTTGTTCGTCCCAATTTCAGTCAATAGAAAGCTAAGCATTGTGGCACATGCCTGTCGGTCTAGCTACGCAGGAAGCGTCCACAGGAAGATCATGGTTCTAGCTGGTCCAATTTAAAAAGTGCCAAGGGCAGGGCTCAAGTGGTTGAATATCCCCAGTTCAAACCCCATTTATTCTCCCCCCAAAATGTGAGAAAATCATTATCAAATAACTTCTACAGGGCAAAAATGTTCTGAGTAGAGGAAGTCCCTGTGTGGGAGCAACACACTCCATTGCGTTCCGTGGAGCAGGCTCTAAACTCCTCCAACCAGGTCCCTTCTCCTGGGAGCATGCTGGCAGCTTACACCCACCTGCCTCCACTCAACAGACCTGCAGCAATGGTGAAGTCTTGCAGTACCTCCCATTGCTTAGAAGCATGGGTTCATTTCTGGTTCATTTCTTCCCTATCAAACATACATAGAAAGCTATCGAATGCTTACGATCCACTGAATGCCCAGACAAAGAGCCTGGCATCTTGCCACAACACACAACCACCCTGCCATAGGTAGTTTACGTTGTCATCCTCATTTTAGACACCAGGAACCGGAGACCCAGACTGAGGTCAGGGAAAATAAGTGAGGTGTTGAAGTCAACAGTGGTTAACTCATGTGCTTCACCGGTCTACATGTGCCGAAGCACACTGCACTCGACTCCAGTAGAAGCAGTGCACCTGGTCCAGTCATCTGCAAGGGATGCTCACTTCCCACCTAGCGAGCAGGAGGGCCTAGAGGGACGCCATGAATGT